CACAACAAATTGGTAATTAAATTTCAAATCTCCTTAATTAATTAAGTGCTAATTATTATACGTGGTAGGATCATTACAGTAGCGGTGGTGTTAGTTGTCGGCATTCTGGTGTTAGGAGCGAGCTCCATCAATGGCGACGCAGATCAGTCCGACGGTGAGCTCTGAGCTAGTCTACTTTTAAACAATTGTTAATCACCGACATTTGAGTGTATATATTTATTTACTTTTTTCCCCCCTGTTTTTTAATGAAATTTGGTTCGATTCTCATGGACTAAATGTGTATTTGTATAGATTTTCTATTACGCAGCTCTAATTCAAGTTGAATGTGAAGTTTTGTGTTGATTTTTGTGTCTGCATGTTGTGATCTGAGCTCTACTTCCAACATAATGCTCTGAGTAAAAATGTAGATTTACAACAAAATTCTTCATATTAGTGATGGAGCTACTCTCTCTCTCTCCGTTTCTATTTTTTTTTCTTTTTTGAGAATTTTGTAGCTCGGAGCTCCATTTTTTTGAGAATTTTGTGACTTTTTTTGAGAATATGTTCGTAATGTTTCTGTAATTGTTTTTTTCTCGAATTCTCCATTTCAAGTAATTATAGTCTTTGGAGTCGACTCAAACTGAGTTGAATTTTGGGGCACACTCTGACATGTATAAAAATGTCGACTTGTTTAGATTGGTCTTATTTATTTATTTATTTATTTTTTGTTTTTGTTGGATTGTTGAGTTTGGGGAAGGAGATGCAAATCTTGAAGGAGATGATGCAAATGAGGAGATGAATAGAGGGAATGAGACTGACGAAGGGAGTGAGGGAGATGAACAGAGGGAGAGAAAGAGAGATGAGCAGAGAAGAAGTGAGGGAGATGAACAGAGGAAGAGAAAGAGAGATGAACAGAGGGATCGAGCCATTGGAGACAATTCGAGCTACATAGCAGAATTGTTTTCAAAATTTTATTTGATTTAAACTTTTTGATTTTTTTTTAAAATCACTTTTTCTCTCCTACGTATCAATCAATCACTTTTTCTCTCTCTCATTCTCTCATTCTCAATCACTTTTTCTCTCATACACATCTACTCAAATACAATAAAATATCAAATTATCCAAAACTCTCAAACTCCAAAACTATTTTCAAAATATACAACCAAATAAACTAAAAAAATTTCTAAACTCTCTCCCAATTTTTTTTTTGAAAATTTATCTCAAAACACAAACCAAACACACATTCTATTTTTATACCTAAAGCACTTTTTGTCTATATATATAATGATTTTTTTATGAAAAATAATATACAAGTTCACTTTCTCAACCAATTTTTTTAAATTCAATAATATGTAAGTGATATGATCGATTGATAACCAAACCAAACCAAAACAAGTCTTAAGTCCCATCAAATGGGGTCGGCTACATGAATCCTTCTTCTCCACGCGGCCCTATCAAAGGCCATTTCATTTGTCAAATTAAGTAGATCCATATCTCTATTTACAACGCTAACCAACGTTAATTTAAGCCTTCCTCGTCCCCTAACACTTCTATCTACCTATATAGTATCGCATCTCTTCACTACTGTCTCTGTTGGTCTCCGTTGAATATAACCAAACCATCTAAATCGATTCTCTCTCAATTTATCTTCTATCTGTGCTACTCCTACCCATTCCCGAATACACTCTGAGAGGGAGATTTCCGTAATCTCGGCTTGGGTCGCGGTTCTGGCCGGGCTGAAAATGGTCCAAGCGTATTTGGGCCGAGCTGGGCTAAGCCGTGCCGAGAGGAAGCTTTTTCGACCGAAGTCCAGACCAGAGTTGGCCGAGATGATCCTCTGCCAACTTGTCTTCTCTTGTTCGCTCGTTTTAGCTCGGTGATCATTATCTGCCGCAGACCGACCTAACTTGGTTGGAGCACAGTCGCACTAGAATGCTGCTGAGCTCATTAGTGATGGTGCTCGACGAGGAGCATTGTTGGGATCGTTAGGTAGCAAGGTCGAAAGAGGCCGGGATGGTGCTGCCGGGCTGTCCGTTCCCGCTAATGTTGTCTGGCAGTTTGATTAGGTGGTGTTTAGCTGGATTTACGCTGACAGATGGGAGAGCAGCTCCACGAGTCAATAGACGAATGGGTGCAGAGGTGAATGCAGAAAGTATACAAGCATGACTGTGCCCCCCATACTGTGGATGGAACGTCATTTGGTGAGAAACACTCATTGTGATATATCTCTCTCTTCCTTTCTCTCTCTCCCAGAGTGTGTGTGCTAACTTGACCGTCGAAGGGATTTTTCAGCCACACACCGCCGGGTAGCTCACCGCCATTGTGCTCGCAGGTCAATCGGATAGACAAGGAGCTTGGACGAAAGAAGTACGAGCTCCGCGGAATATTTGCTCCCCGTACACACTCATTCCTAATTTTGTCTTGTCTAGTCTTGCCACACATCCACCTTAGCATTCTCATCTTAGTCATACTTATCTTATCTACATGGTGTTTCTTGGTTGCCCAAGTATCCCATACAACATCGCTAGTCTAATAGCCGTTCTATAGAACTTACCTTTAAGTCTAGTGGGTATTCGTTTATCGCACAGTATCCTAGACGCACTTCTCCACTTACACCATTTCGTCTTAATCCTATGGGCCACATCCGCATCAATCTCTCTTGCTATTGTGATAATCAATCCTAAATAACAATTGATGCTATTTTTTTATTACTATTCTGTTCAAAAATAAAGTTACTATAATATTTTTATTTTCTTCATCTCAAATCTTACATGTTGTTTGGTAACGTTTTTGTTTCTTTTTTTTTAATTTTATTTTGAAAATTAAAATTAAAAATTTGTTTGGTGTATTATTTTTATTTTTAAAAAATGAAATTAATTGCGATTGTGAAGGACATAGATCGTGTTGGAGATGGGCTGAGTGGTGTCGGCATGGTCAGTAAGGGATGGGGACTAGTTTTTGTTTCTTGTTTTTTATTTTTATTTTTGAAAATGAAAACGAAAACGAAAACAAAAACAAAAACGAAAACTTGTTTGATATATTGTTTTTAATTTATTTTTTATTTTTTAAATTGAAATTGATTTTGATTGTGATAGAGAGAGAAATCACGATAGAGATGGATTGAGTGGTAACAACATGGTCGGAGAGGAACGGGGGACTGAGAAGGTTTTGGAGGTGGCAGGGAGAGTCGCTGGAGCTGAGGGGATCAACGAGGCTGCAGTGGCAAAATTGGATAATGGAGATGATGGAGGTGGCAGTGAGGCTGGGTTGTGGCTAGGGCTAGGGTTAGGTTTGAAAAAGGCAAGGGTGTTTTTGACATAAATGGATTGAAAAATATTTGATGTTACAAAATCATTAAGCCTCCGTTTGGGAAGTGAGTTGGCTTTTTGGCTTTTTGACTATTTTAGCCTAGTTTGGGAAGGACTTTTTGGCTTTTTGACTTTTTTAACTTTTTTGTGAGAGAGGATTGTAATGATTATGGGTTGGATTTGATGTTTTATTTTTTGTGGCTAAAATAACCTATTTTGTTTCTTGTGGCTATTTTAGTCAAAAAAAATCCTGACTTTTTTCTTCCCAAACGGAGCCTAAGTGTGTGCAACGAAAAAACATGTCATTGTCCGGGGAGTTTGTGGTGGGTAGAAATAGAAACTTTTTCTGTTACGCCATGTTTCTTTTCAAGTGTAAATTAAATTTTATCACCTCAATTATTGTTTTATATCATTTTATTTTCCTGAACTAAAAATGGCAACATTTAACTCCCTTCATCTACTAATGTGTTTCAATTTGGACATTTTTGATGAAAATACCCTTTTAGCTTGTAGGATAAATTCTACTTTATCTCTTAAAACTATCACTCAATATCACTTTATTTCTTCAATATCATATTTTGCTAATTTTAACTATTAATTTGTGTCAATGTAATCACTTATCAAGAATCCATTATATAAATAAATGAAAAATTGACATATAACTTGCATATAATATCTCAAATATTATAAAATGCCTAAAATGACATTATTCCTTTTTTATTCAATTTTTTCCCTTCAATCTCCTACTCAAAGCAGCAATAATGGTAGATATGGGTAGAACAAAGAAAGAAAGGAAAGGAAAAACAAAAATAAGGTTTATTTAAGTAGTTCACAAAATTTAGGTAAGATATGCAAGTCACATGTCAATTTTTTTATCAATTTATATAAAGGTAAATTATTAATAGATCTTAATAATTAGACTTAATTCTCATCAAGTTCTATTAAAAATAAATCTTAGTAAAATCGTCGTTAAAAATAATTTTTTAATGATATTTTTTGCACATGTCACTAAAAATTGACAATTAATGACTTTTTTTTTGTCATGATTTTTATAAATTGTACCTAAAACTTATAATTGGTAGCATTTTTCTGTGACAAATTTTTTAAACTATCATTGAAAGTTATGACAATTTTTAAACTGTCACTAAAAATTAACAATTAGTGACCTTTTTTTAATAGTGTTTGATAAAAAAAAGCCATTAATTATCATAGAACCTATTAGACAATAAGTTCACTTATTAGGACCTACACGTAAGTCTCTATTTATATAACAAATTCTTAATCAGAGGTTTACAATGATATAAACTATCATACAAATTAATAGTCCTAAGTGAGAAAATATTACATTTTTTAGTCGAAGGGGTAGAGTAATAGTTCAAAAGAGTAAAATATAATTTGTCCCTATAATGAAATGGTATTTTCATAATTAAAGTCGAAATTGAAAAGAAAAAAAAATGTAGATGAGATACTTATGTGTCTATATATTAATACATAACAGCAATGATTCAAAGCACTAATTTTGGTGCTCTAATGGAGCACTAATGACATGGTAAGGAAAAAAAAAAATCAAAATCAAAATATCACATCACAGTGCACTGTCAGCTCATTAGAGCTGGCTTTAGAGCCTAAATATTAGAGCTCCAAAGCATTTTTCAATACATAATAGTACAACAAACAAATTCAAAGTAGATTCAGGTGCATCCAAAGAAAACAGAATGAATGTGGTCCAAAGGATCCTCAGTTAATGCATTCAACAAGATAACATCTCATAATACAAAGTAACATTTACATGCATGCAAACCAAGCTACTCCAATCAACAGCAATCTAGAAATGCCCTTCACTATTTAATGGGCATGAAGAAACCTACACACAACAGCAAGCTAGAAAATAGATGAGTAATTGCCATCTTCCAAAGGAAAAACAAGCTAGGATTTTATTTATTAGGAATACACAGATAGCTTGTTCTTCTTGGAAGACTCTAATTCCAGAATGTTCCTCTCAGAAGGCGGCTCTCATCCCCTTATGCTGCTCACACCTCTTCCTTCCGTGGACTGGCATTCTAGAACATATGGATCCATTTCGCAAGGAAGCACCACATATATCTGATGAAAACCCTCCATACATAGAGGTGAAATTATAAGAACTTGCACTATTTTCCCTCATGCCCTTGTGCTGCCAACACCTTTTTCTACCTTCAGTCGGTGGCCTTCTACAAGAGGATCCATCAGCCAAGGTAGCTCCACAAGTAGAAGAAAAACTTTCATTGACAACGCATTTGTATGAGACTGATTGATAAGAGTTGTTGTAATGTTTCTGACCACTACTAGAACTGATACCTGAACTATCAAACACACTGGGTAGATTTGCAACCGGTAGCTTAGACCTGGATCCGTCAACCCTCATCCATTTGTGTTCCTCGCACCTCTTTCTTCCAACCACAGGTTTCCTTGTGCAGAAGGTTCCATCTTGAAAATTCACCCCACAAATGGTGTCCAAATTCTTGTTAATAACAGACCTCTTTGAGAGAACTGGAGATTCTGGTATATGGAATTTACGGGATTCCGAGGAAATCTGCCCATAATCATTACCTGGACCCAAAACTGGACCATGTACATAGCGTTGTTTCCCTTCTGTTACTGACTCAGAAAGGGATGATCCTTTAATCTTTCTTCCTTTGTGCTCTTCACATCTTTTCCTTCCATGGACTGATTGTCTTCTACACGGAGTTCCATCATTCAAGGTAATTCCACAAATAGAAAATGAGCCCTCAGTAATCAATTTTGAGGTTAAACCATTGGTTTTAATTCCTCTGTGCTCAACACATCTTTTTCTTCCTTCAACTGGTGGCCTTCTACAAACAGATCCATGACTTAAGGCAACCCCACAAATATGAGAGGTGTCCTCGTTGAAACCAAAGCTCAGTGAAACTAGTCTAGGCTGTGATCTACCAATTTTGAGAATTCGAGAAGGGAAATCATTGCTGTCCAGATTAGTATATATGTTGGATCCATTCTGCAACAGAAGTGGCTTGCAAGCGTCAATTTTGATACCTATTTTCTTCTGATGGAAATTCTGGAGCTTCTTGGCAATAGCGAGCATTTGGGTATTGCTTGATGTGCTTCGATCAAGTTTCTCGAGAATATCATTATCGCGACGTACGCCATTATTGCCTTTGTTCCATGCATAATCAAATTTGTCAAGCAGCCGAGCTTCTGTTTTTTCAGCCTCCCTCTTACTTTTCATCTGTTTAACATTACAGAAAGGGAATGAATGAGAGAGATAATTAAGGACTTCTTATATGATACACATAAACGGCATAGTCAAAAATTTATTTTAATTAGTTGTCATCGATATCATTATCTCATATTTTTAACTGTACAAAAGTTATTAAAAATAAACTCACATAATATACTACAATATAAATATAATATCTTGTGTTTTCAACAATAACATTGTATACATAATCCAAACTTGTTAAATTACATTGATTGAAAAGAGAGAGTAAAGAAAGAAGAATAAAAAGACAAACAAACCTACATGTAAGGAAAAAAAATCGTAAGCACTTAAGAATCTCATGCTTTAAAAGGAAGTTACCTCTAAATTAAGTTCTACTTAAAAAATAAATAAATAAATAAATGATATATAAACAAAAATTTTATGCAGAACCATGTGACTTATTATTTTTGGAATAATTTTTTTTATATACACTTTATGTCTGCAAATCATTTTTGACACCATCTTATATATTTTTTAATAATTTTAGTGGCGTCAATTTATAAAAACCTTTCAAAAATTTACATAATACTACATAATCCTTAAAAAAAAAAACAAAAAAAATGTTCAGTGGGTTCAGTTGAACCCACCCAATACATTGCTATGCCACTGCATACAAGGAGACTCTCAGTCTCAAGACAGCTAAGCATAGTCCAGAAAATGTAGACATTTAGCGCATGTTTATGGTTATTTGCTGTTATATATGTCTATAGGTGTGTCTGTCAGTATGTGCATAAATGATCTGCATATATATGAGGTGTGAGCCCTTTATAACATGATCCTTTCAGCCAATTCAAATTTTCTAACAGCAACAGTTGATTTCTGACAGAGAAACTTAAATTGTTTCCTACATCTTGAATAGAAATTTTAACAAAATCTTCTGTGAGAAGCAACTAATTCTAATCATGCACCCTCGCACAGCAAGAATCAGATAAAAGACTCCATGCACAAATAATCACAATTAATAAAAGAACAGAACATGTAGAAAAATCTATGTATCTCATCTGTTTAGGATCACTGGTCTTTGATTCTGACAAATCTAGTTTTTCTGTTTCCAAACTTCTATCAATCTTTCTGTACTCGTTAATCTACATGGTAACAATGTCTACTCTTTGATTCAGAATCACCAGATTAACCATCAAGCAATAAAAATAAAAACAAAAACAAAAAGTAACATGTACTTACAGGAGCCCATCTATACACAATAGAGCAGCCTCTCGAAAATATATCCGAAAATAATCCAATTGAGTTTCCATTCTCTAAATGAGCACCTTCACGGCCATAACATTGTAGTCTACACTTAATATCGTCAGATTGTCCAAGGTAAACTGGAATTATACGGTCCGGGTAAAGCTTGCTAATCTCACGCCCTGAACGGGTACATGGTAGAGCTATGCCAAGCTCATAAAGACCTGAACATGAAGAACAATATGGGAGGTTGTAAACCCTGTATCTCTCTGCTCCTTCCTTCCCCGAGGAATGATCTTCCCAATCAGAAGGCCCAACGAGAGCCTGAACAAATATATACATAGCATAATCTGAATGAAATACATTATATCCCAGTTATCCCAGAAGATGCATGTGCATTTTAAGGATCCAAGCTACTTCACAGTTACATATAGAAATTTTCTGTTGTTAACCAGTTTGATGTAATCAAGCACCTTCAACTAAATTTCCATATATTTTCTTTATTTTGAACAACTTTTAGCCCTTTCGAAAAGTCCTGACATCCACAAAAAATAAGGATTCAAAAATTAACAGGGTTAATTTCACTTTTATCCCTAAAACTATCATCATTTTTTCTATGTTATCCATAAACTATCAATTTTATATTTAGTCCCTAAATTTTTTATTTCAATTCATGTGATCCTATTGAAGATGATTCTACAAATCAATAATTGTTGAAGCCAATCTTGAAGGGCAAAAATGTAATGACAACTTGGACAGCCTAAATCATACAACAAAACACTCATCAAATTGGTTGTAAGGTGTAGTTTGTTGAAATTAGCAAGAAAAATAAGTGTCTAATTGTATGGCTAAGTTGTTCAAATTCTTAAATAACAATTTTACCCATCAAATTAGAAACTGTTAGTAATTTGTACAATCTTCTCCAATTGGACCACATGAACTCAAATTAAAAACTTAAAGATTGATATTTTAAGGATGAAATAGAAAAAATGATGATAGTATATAGAATAAAAGTAAAATTAACCAAAAATTATCTATGACATGGGAAATTCTAATATACACACCCTTGAAAGGGGTGTACCATATGCACCCTAGTTATGTCATTTTTTTTTTTTAGTTAGAACTAATTTTTTTTCTTTAATTATGACATTATTTTAGTTATGACTCGCGAGATGTTTAGTAATACCTCATGTTGTTTTCGTTTATGACAAAAAAATTTTTATAGTTATAAAACAGAAAGTATAAAATTATGTCATTTTCTTCTTTGTCATAGGGTTCATATACCATGGTGTTTCCCCCATGACATGCATTCAATTTGTGGGCATTGATCAAAAAGACCAACATTCACCAGAAATTGGTTTGCCTACCAGTGTATGTAGTATAGTCACCAGTCCATTTTCACAAATGTTGGCATGTGATGAAGCAGGACAGAGAATGGAAGATCTCTTTATTTCATAAGGTGAATATATATATATATATATATGCATTTTCATGGTGTATTGTATTGTCTATGAACTTGTATATGCTCATTCAAAGAACCAATGCAGCAAATTTCCACATGAAAGAAAACCCACCCGAAAAAAAAGAGAAAACAAAGCAAAAATCCCCTAACACCTATTTCGCTCAAGTAACAATTTTTTGGTATATAGATCATTCATTAGTGGTGATTACATTTAAAAAATGGGTTCCAGAGAGAGAGAGAGAGAGAGAGAGAGAGAGAAGGAAGACCTTCCATTGGGAGAAATCGGGGTCATGTTTGGTGAGATCACAGTCTTCTCTCTTCGACCTCCTGTCCCAGACGGCGTCACACTGTTTACTCACTACCATTTCCATTTTTCTCTCCCGCAATAAACAAACCGCCGCTACCTGCGCTCGCTTTAAATATCCTCTTTGTTTTTTAGGGTGTTTGTTGTAATTTTAATTGGTTCATTTTTTAATTCTGAATTTATAATTAATTCTGTTTAATTGATTATAATTTTTAATATTTTTCATAAATAAATGTAAGTGTTTTGGGTAAATAGTAAAAAGCCAATTTTTTTGGCTTTTTAACTTTATTAGCCAAAAAAACCACAGAAAAGCTAACTTTTTTAGATGTTTGGGTAAAACTAAAAAAGTGTATTTTTTTTTTTTACATATATATACTTATTTGGATCACATAAATCAATATCTATCAACATTTTTCCTCTACTTTTCTAATTATTTTATCTACTTTTTTACACATTTTTTTTAAGAAAAGTTAAAAAGTTCACTTATTTAAAATATCCCAAATCACTCCCAAATCATCAATATATATATATATATATATATTATCAAAAATATTAGTAATATTATCAATTAGATCAAATTAATATAAAATCTAAAATTAAGATTAACTTTAAACCAATTAAAAATGTAAAAATCAAAAAGACATTAAAAATAAAATATAAGGACACCTAATATAATATATCAAAAATTTTAATTTCAAAACACCAGTTTTGACCTCAATAGGGATTACATAATACCAAATGGGTCATGCTAGTCTGTATCTCCAGAGGTCATCAACCCATATTCGTTTGGAATATATTGTCCTCTTCATTATCCAATCCAAATATGAATTTGGCTAAAACTTTGCATAAATTGAATCAACCTGAAAATAACTATTGAGGTTAAATTTTTCTCAAGGGCTTTTTGATGACAAAGTCAGCTCTCTAAGGTTTATTTTGGCAATTGAGTTAAAAGTTAAAAGTTAATTATTGATTTTTTTAGATCACATCACCTCTTTATTTTTTACACGTTTAAAAAAAAAAAATCAAAAAATTAACTTTTAATTTACTTCCTAAAATAGGCCTAAAAATAGAACTCAAATACTTTCTTGTCTTGGTAGCATGTTCAAATGGTAAGCGATAGATGGAACATACAGGTCTCGTTTGTAAAGTGACTACTTTTTAAGCTTTTTGACTATTTTAGTCGACTATTTTAGTTTTAATTTATGTTTGGGAAGATAGATTGAATATTTTGTTGGATTGTTGTATTGAAAAATATGTTTGAAATGATGTAGGAAAGGAAATGACAAAATTGCCCCTAATGATTGAATGATTGGTATGGTTTTCAAAAAAATTCAAGGGCAAAATTGTCTTTTCATGTGCCTGACAGCCCTGCCACAGCCCACATGACCTAGCAGTGTACCTATTGTAGATGGGTTTTGTTTGCACATTTTTTTTGTGTGGTTATTTTCAATTTAAGGCTATTTTACCTTTTAAACTCACTTGCCAAACACCCCCATAATATGTTCTCTATAAGTCTCTGTTGTATTTGGTACGGAATGTAATGGTGATTGATCGCGCGTTTTATCTTCCAAGTTGTCCTCATTTGGCCTGGGTTGTGGTTTCTCTCGACCAACCTGGTCAGTCAAGTTGTGGTCATCCTTGACTGGCATAGCTAGTTACTTGGTTTATGTCACGACCCAAACCCGGCCCTATGGGTTTAGCACCGTAACTGGCCAGTAATCCGAGATTACCGAAGGCCTGCAGAACAGTAGTACAGTAAAACAGAGTACAGGGCCTGGCGGAAGCCAATACAGTAAAGAAACAATGCCCAATGAGCTGTGACAGTCTGTATGCCAAAAAGATTATTGATACATTCATACATAACCGGTACAGAACAGTATGCACCAAATTTATAATCATTCAGACTAGGGACTTAATCCCTGCATAACAGTACGATAAACATTCAGTCTATACAGAACAGTAAGACAGTACAGAAGGGGAAAATCTAAAACACCCCTAAGCCTTAACGGTTAGGCTCGGAATCTCGCAGTGAGGCACATAGGCTGGCTTGACAAAACTGGAGTAACCCTGACGCTCCTAGCCGCGGTCCGGTGCCTGAACACCTACATATATATATGAGCAGTGAGCTAAAGCCCAGTGAATAACATAAAGCGTAAAGAGGTTAAGAATGAATGTCCTTACAGTACGAAAACAGTTCATTTCAATCAGTCATTCAGTTGTTCAGTACAGTAAACAGTCATATGTGGTACATCCGTTAGCATAACAGTAAACAGTAGGTCTAGAAGACCGAACAGTAATGATGGCCATCAGTCAGTAGACAGTAGTGGTTCCAACAAGGGAACCGACAGAGATCTCTGTAACAGTAACAGTAACAGTAGGTGCTAAGGATGCCACAATACAGTTCAGAATATAGGACATACATTCATTCAGTTAACAGTAATCAGTTCAGAAACAGTACAGTTCAGTTGTTCAGAAAATAATCATTTGTGAACATATCTTTACACAATCGTTACTCACAGAGTTCGGGCTACAATATGCTAGAGCGTGTCTCTCCAGTCGCCAACCCTACATAGTTAATAGATTGAACACACTAAGCTACATAGCTGGGAAAGATAATAACTTAATCCCTAAGTTGCCTCGATGTGTTCTACATCTATATCCTCAACAAGATGTCTTAAACTAGGCCTAAGAATGCCTAGAATGGGATGAGGATGCAAAGATGCACATTTTAAAGCATTTTCAGAAAACAGAGTCCTGCTCGAGCGGAGGTTTGGGCGCTCGAGCGGATATGCAACAAAGGTACACGCTCGAGCGTAAACTTTCCCGCTCGAGCGTACTGTAAAAGTACTGGATGGGTGAAATCTCCGCTCGACGCCCGCTCGAGCTTGAGACATGACTCTGCTCGAGCGCCCAAACCTCCGCTCGAGCGGACTGTAAAATAGTGCAGAGATACTGGATGCTCGGATTCCACGCTCGAGCGGCACTTCCCCCGCTCGAGCGGAAGTGCGAAATCTGGAAATTCCAGATTGCACCTCCAAGCTCAAAACCAAGTTTAAACAACTCAAAACTCGACCTCTTGGGCTGAATTTCCAGAAAACATTTGTAAACACATAGTTAAACATGATTCAAAGCTCAATTTGCGAAATCAAAGCCCAAGGGTGTTTAATTGAAACCCAAGTTCAAACCAATTTTAAGAACAATATAAACATGCAAATATGCATGCATTCACATCGTTTCAAAGCTTCAATTTCATGCTCTTATGAGCCAAATCTTTCCAAAACATGATGAAATCATGGACTTAAACATAATTGTGAACATGCATGTGACATTTTGCCATGAAAACAACTCAAAAACCAACAATACTAACATGCATGCAAAGATAGAGCTTCAAATCAACAACAATGAACCAATTCTAGGCTTAGCTTTACAATTAGACATGAACCATGCATGAATCAACTTAAAGACACGTCAAAAGGATGGAATTCATACCTAGGTTCCTTGAATGCAAGTCTAGAGGTTCAACTATGCAATCTTATGCTCTAAATCCTTCAATTTCCTAGCAATTCTACAAGTGAACTCCAGTCTCTCACTTCCTCTCTCTCTAAATTCGACTGAGTGCTCAAACAAGGCTGAGGAAGTGTTTTGATTCAAGTGTGGTGCAGCTCAATATGCCTAGGTAGTGGCCCACTAGATGGCTCTTTGGTAAATAAGTCAAACTTTGAGCATTTGCCAAAATTAATCTAATTTAATCATACCTAATCAGTTTTCGGATAACCATACCATAATTTCACATAAATTACAATGGCCATAAAATATCAATCAATTCCGGATTCGGCCGCCGATAAGGCCTTCAATTAGCAGTTTAAACATAAAACACGAACACATCAAATAATCAATCAACAGATAGAATGCAATTCAAACAGATGTACTATGCATTTAAACAGATACAGTCAGTCAATTACTTCCAGATTCCAGTCAGTCTGTTCAGTACTTGAATCAGTTCAATTATCAGTCATAATCAGTTCAGTTTAACGGTAATCAATGGTTATCGGTAACCAATCAGTCATTAATCGGTAAACAGTATGAGGGTTGTTACAGTTTAAGTCTATCTTTCTGCTCGAACTAAGTGAGTATTGTTAGCGTGTTGGTGGGTCGATCGTTCTCTCTTGAGCCTTAAGCCTTGTTGGGTAAATGGGCTTAGACTGATCCGTTATGAAGCACGGATACTCTGAAAATGTTGCTGTATTTGTACCATATATTGATACTCATACCGATAGGGTTGCATACGTATTAGGTACTTAAAATACTTGTCAAGTACTTTTTATACATTCTTTGGTAGTTGGATACTCTGTGGGTACTTCGTGGGTACGGAATGGGTACATTGGGGTACACCAAGTTATGGAACATTGGTGGAGTTTAATTTATTAGAGAGTTGCGATTTGTTTGAAATTGCAAATTCTTTACTTGACATGCCATAGATGAAAGATATATCATTCAATGATGAAACTGATGGAAGTGAAAATTAAAATTTTAAATTTTCAAATAGAATGAAACTTTGTTTTATAATTTCTCATATTTAACAACATTAAATTAGCTTATGAACTTTACTTTGGTATTGATATTGTTGAATTATGATTTATCTTTTGATTTTGTAATTTCTCTTTTTAATTTTAGTATTGAACTTTAATTGTATGTTGAATATAAAATTATAAATTATAAAAAATAAAATATTTATTAACGTATCCTAATATATGTATTCTATTTTTTTTAAGTCTTGTCAAATTGATGTATTGGTTGATCCGTATTTATCGTTACTCATCAAGGCCTATACTTAAAATTAATTTGATTCTCATATTACTCCTTTTTTCCAAAAAAAAAAAACTTTAAACAAAAATTCTGAATATGTAAATGTAACATTGCTCATAGTGAAATTGATCAATCTTTTGCCACCTCATAGAATTGTACAGTAACCCGCATGAATGATTCCCACCTTTCATATAATTTGTGTCTTCATGGATTTGGATTTATTGTGACTTTATTCCCTTCTGTGCTCTTCAATTATTGTGACTTTGGGGGTGTTTGCAAGAAAAGTTTTAGCATTTTTTTGGTTAAAAT